TAAGCAGTGTGTGTATTAGTTATTATATAACACCAAGCAGTGTGTGTATTATTTATTATATATCAATAAGCGGTGTGTGTATTATTTATTATATATCAATAAGCAGTGTGTGTATTATTTATTATATAACACCAAGCGGTGTGTGTATTAGTTATTATATATCAATAAGCAGTGTGTGTATTAGTTATTATATATCAGTAAGCAGTGTGTGTATTAGTTATTATATATCAGTAAGCAGTATGTGTATTAGTTATTATATATCAATAAGCAGTGTGTGTATTAGTTATTATATATCAGTAAGCAGTGTGTGTATTAGTTATTATATAACACCAAGCAGTGTGTGTATTAGTTATTATATATCAATAAGCAGTGTGTGTATTAGTTATTATATAACACCAAGCAGTGTGTGTATTAGTTATTATATATCAGTAAGCAGTGTGTGTATTAGTTATTATATATCAATAAGCAGTGTGTGTATTATTTATTATATATCAGTAAGCAGTGTGTGTATTATTTATTATATAACACCAAGCGGTGTGTGTATTAGTTATTATATATCAATAAGCAGTGTGTGTATTAGTTATTATATAACACCAAGCAGTGTGTGTATTATTTATTATATATCAATAAGCGGTGTGTGTATTATTTATTATATATCAATAAGCAGTGTGTGTATTATTTATTATATATCAATAAGCAGTGTGTGTATTATTTATTATATAACACCAAGCGGTGTGTGTATTAGTTATTATATATCAATAAGCAGTGTGTGTATTAGTTATTATATATCAGTAAGCAGTGTGTGTATTAGTTATTATATATCAGTAAGCAGTATGTGTATTAGTTATTATATATCAATAAGCAGTGTGTGTATTAGTTATTATATATCAGTAAGCAGTGTGTGTATTAGTTATTATATAACACCAAGCAGTGTGTGTATTAGTTATTATATATCAATAAGCAGTGTGTGTATTAGTTATTATATATCAGTAAGCAGTATGTGTATTAGTTATTATATATCAATAAGCAGTGTGTGTATTAGTTATTATATATCAATAAGCAGTGTGTGTATTATTTATTATATATCAGTAAGCAGTGTGTGTATTAGTTATTATATATCAGTAAGCAGTGTGTGTATTATTTATTATATATCAATAAGCAGTGTGTGTATTATTTATTATATATCAGTAAGCAGTGTGTATTAGTTATTATATATCAATAAGCAGTGTGTGTATTAACTATTATATATCAGTAAGCAGTGTGTGTATTAGTTATTATAAATCAGTAAGCAGTGTGTGTATTAGTTATTATATATCAATAAGCAGTGTGTGTATTATTTATTATATATCAATAAGCAGTGTGTGTATTAGTTATTATATATCAGTAAGCAGTGTGTGTATTAGTTATTATATATCAGTAAGCAGTGTGTGTATTATTTATTATATATCAGTAAGCAGTGTGTGTATTAGTTATTATATATCAGTAAGCAGTGTGTGTATTAGTTATTATATATCAATAAGCAGTGTGTGTATTATTTATTATATATCAATAAGCAGTGTGTGTATTATTTATTATATATCAATAAGCAGTGTGTGTATTAGTTATTATATATCAGTAAGCAGTGTGTGTATTAGTTATTATATATCAGTAAGCAGTGTGTGTATTATTTATTATATATCAGTAAGCAGTGTGTGTATTAGTTATTATATATCAGTAAGCAGTGTGTGTATTAGTTATTATATATCAGTAAGCAGTGTGTGTATTATTTATTATATAACACCAAGCAGTGTGTGTATTAGTTATTATATATCAGTAAGCAGTGTGTGTATTAGTTATTATATATCAGTAAGCAGTGTGTGTATTAGTTATTATATATCAATAAGCAGTGTGTGTATTAGTTATTATATATCAATAAGCAGTGTGATTATCAGCTGTTTGTAAGGTTGACTCCTGTAACCATGGATACACACATTTCATGATCCACATTGCCCTCTAGTGGCAGCTTTGTATTAACGCAGCCCAACCAAGCATAGAAATAGCGCTGCCCAGGTAGCGCCCCCTCCCCCGGCCCCCGGAAGTGCCACCATTGCTGTTGTCATTCCTGGCTGATAATATCCGGTGAGTCCTGAGAAACTGCGGGAGAGGAGTGTGATTCCCCCGGGGGTCCATGGTGAGTGACAGCTCGCACGGGGCTCTGGGTAACCAGGTGACAAACAAACTACAACCAGCACAGAAAGAGTTAACATGAACCCACCCAGAGCTGGGCAAAGCTCCTATACCGGATAATAAATACACCCAGCACTTCATACACATCACACACAGCTCCAACCCTTTATACATATCTCACAGCTATGGATTATGGCATGTTCTTCCTCAATCCTTCATACATATCACACAGCTATGGATTTTGTCGTGCTGTGCTATTATTTTTGCACATTGCGTTGCTAGGAAGTATTGTGTGCATGTTTTTAATCTTTCCTGCATATTGCACAGGTATGAAATATTGTAAAACTGTGTTTTAATGCTGCAATGTTTAATCCATATTGTACAGCTATGGTTAATGATGATCACTGCTGGTATTGCTTGTGCATATTGCTCAGTCACAAATTATGGCATTCCCTTCTCTAATATTAAACAATTGATTATATTGCAGATTTGTTACATATAAATTCTATTTCATGCTCTTCTATAATGTTAAGCCAGGATTATACTATGCACATACATTATATAATGAATAAAATAAACAAACCATGACATATAAGCAGTGTTACGGGTTTCTTGAAGAAAGTCAGTCTCACAGGGCTGCTTACTAAAGTGTTAATTTCAAACTGAAGGACAAACTAGTCAAACTGGAAAGATTCTCAAAATCCGCTATGCTTTCAGTTTGATTACTGTGGCCTTGTGTTTGATATTCACTTTGAATTTTCACTTTATTACGTAACTGTCAGTCTTGATCATAGCCATACTGTGACTGCTGTCCATATACAATTAGTCCAGTCTCTGTTTAGTGATGATGGCAGTGAGTCATGGATCAGTACTTGGCTTACTCTTCTTGGAGTATAGTTTAATCCAAGTTGTGTGTTGCCGCGTCCGCACCTTAACTTGGACGTACTTGAGAGCTAGAACTGAGAATTGCAGAAGCAGCTGAGCTATAGCTCCAGAAACCTAAACATACAGCGTTCTATTTGGAGCAAATCGGTTTATTTAATAAAGTAAGAAATACTGAGAATTCAAAGTGAATTTTTTTTTAATTCTAAAATGCCAACGAATCCTGCCGCAGTCGGCAGTAAGTGAACTAACAAGTAGTTGCAATAAGACAAGTTGGATTACAGGAATATGAGGTGCTGAGATCCCTGCTCAAACAAGCTTGCATTCTAAGGCAATTGAAAGTGTGCATTTCAAAATCAGCCACATTATTTATTATGATTATTAGAAAAATTCTCAAAGTCCGTTCTGTTTTCAGTTTGGCTTATTCGGCCTTAAAAGGGCACTTCAGCCATGATCTCTTTTCACAAAGCAATTTCCTTTGAGGTATTTTTAGTGCGTACTCAGGAGCTGAGCTGCTGGCATCAGTCTGCTCCATAGCCAATCACTGCCCTCATATTGTTTGTACTCTTTCCCCTTGGCTTGGCTTTGAAATACTAAGCGAATAATTACAGGGCACTGGCTGAGGGGTGGCGTGATGTCAGCAGCTTCATTTACAATGATCTCTCGTTGGCTGAGCGGAGTATATACCCGGAATACTTCTAATAAAGACCTTTCTTTGTGAGTAGAGGCATTGTGGCCTATTGTAACCAGGTTATGCTGCAGAAAAAGGCAAATCTTTTTATTTAAAGGGTTACTCCAAGTAACACAACCACTTCAGTTATTTGAAGTGGTTACGGTGCATGTAGTTTGTATGCGTCTGAAATACTGCACATACAGAATTTAACCCCTCTGCTGCTGCTGGTGTTACTTAAAGGGACACCTAGTCACAGAACAACTACAGCTTAATGCAGCTTTCAGAGAAAAGGCAGTGTTTACATTGCCCCTAGGAACACCTCCAAGTGGACACTCCTCAGATAGCCACTGGAGGTGCTTCCTGACTCAGTGCTGCACAATAGGCAGCTCTGCTGTTCAGCGTCCCTACGAGATGCTGAATTTTCCTCATAGAGATGCATTGATTTAATGCATCTCTATGAGGAGGTCCTGATGGGCCAAAACCGCATTTGGCCCTGCCCCTTGCCGATTTTTAGCCAATGAGAAAGCATTGGATTGGCTAAAAATTGTCCCTTTTGATGTCACAAAGGGGGCGGGGCACGTGCTGGCGGAGGGCTAAGAGGGGGGCAAGCCACCTATATGGTGGGTTTAGCACTATAGGGTCAGTAATACATGTTTGTGTTCCTGACCCTATTGTGATCCTTTAACTTCTGGCAGCATCATAGGGGCCTCATTAGCCAACTCAAGCATGGGCTGGCTAACATCAATTCTATGCAAACTTGGAGTCTGATACCAGCACACACGACATCCTGGCAAACGTCCCTGAGTCCTCCCTCCTGCTCACATTACAGCCCCTATCCCCCCAGACACCGTGCAATCCCTTTCCCTCCCACATCACAGCCCTTATCCCTGCCTCAATACAGTCCCTATCCCCCAACATTACAGCCGGTATTCTCTCACACAGTGCCGACCCTATAATCCCCACATAAGGTATAGCAGTATCCTCCTACACACTAAAGTCCCTTAACACACAAACACACACTACAGTCCCTATTCCCTCTGTACACACAGTCTAATCCCTATTCACAACTACACTACAACCACATTCCACACACCACCCGCATACACTACTGCCCTATCCAGATACACACTGGACTGCAAATTGCCCCATCCACACACAAGCCCACATGAACGGTAGCCTACCCCACAGACACCACATGCAGTCTCTCACACAATTATGGGGATACCGTAGACAAGTTAGCAGCAAACACAGAAGTGTATCATTAGACTAGCTTGCACTGCATTAAACACAGGGCATTTTTGCCCATGTGAGAGCTCTTCAGAAGAGCTCTGCAAACACGCTTCCCTGACGGGGCATTGACCTGACTTGCCCACTTTAAGGTGAGTGCCTACCAATGATGGCACAAGGTGCCCCATCCTGTTGGGATGCTCTAATTTAAAATCCTTGGGCCTAATTTTTGTGCTAGTCCTGCCCTGATTGTAGAATTAAAGACTGGCATGGCACCGAGACCACCTTATTGAGATTGTTTTCTGGGTGCCTGTAGAGTTCCTAATGTTAAGCTAGTTTCATACCCCCTCCAAAAATATGCAATAAATATTAAATGCTTAGATTTTTTATTTATTTATAAAAAAAATTAATAAGGCGATCTATAGAAAGCTATGAGAGAAATACATATACCATGAATCCATCCCAGAAGGTTTTATGAGAACCTATAGTTGTATTTTTATTTTCTTACTTTCTAACTCACAACTTTATCTTGGAATTGTGTATTTTTGACTTTTTTTTTTTTTGCCCACTTTTTTAGCCTGCGGTTCTAATCGGCAACCCTCAAAATTCTAACACATGGAATTAAGCCCAGCACTCAAACTCCCACTACTCTTGGGCACTGAATATAGTATTTATCAGCCCAAATACATGATCGAACAAAACAAAAAAAGTTACCTGCACACTATCCCCCCTCCAATTTAGTTGAACCCTCATTATTTCATTTACGAGCTGCATTTGGGAAGATAATTTGGAGAAGGATGTTCAGAGCCTCCTAAGATGTGTAGAGGCTTATCATGGGTATATGTACTGGGAACGTTCATCACTGTAGCGGAGGTCTCATGTGTTAGAATAAAGTTATTTTATCTCTTTTATTTATAAGATACACAAAATCCCCGGCTGAATGTTTCTTGCTTAATTTATTAACATGTTGGCACAAAAAAGACCTGGCTTAGTCAGATCTCCTGTGTATGGTGATAGCTGTGCAAGAGTTTGAATAGTCTGTGGTACGTGTCTTTAGGGAATACTTGAGTGATCAGAAACTTTGCTGTGTTTCCTGTTTTCTAAAGCCAAATGAGATTCACTGTTTTTGTTTTTTTTTGTTTTTTGTTGAGATTTTCTTCTATTGCGGTTTGCCTTTTGCCTTCAAGGGAAATGGTGATTTCTGGAAATCACACCATTGAGTAAAACATTGAAAGTCACTTATGACCTGTGTTAAGAATGGATAGAAACTGATTAATTTCTACTTCTCTGTAAGCTCTCCATGCTGACTGCCTGGTGCCAACGACAGAGTTTATAATGACAGGGAGCTAAGATGGCGACACCCATCTACAGTATAAACACCTGTGCATTTCTACATTAAATTGCATGTGTTAAATATTGGGATTGATAAACCTAATATTAAACATCCTTGGCAGAGACAGTCCCCCTTTAAAGCAAGATATGTTCTAAACATTTACCAGTAACTATTGATCAGGTTTCATTTAATACAGGTTAGCTGTGATATCAAACGTAACTCCAACCACCATAACCACTCTTGCTTTTAGAAGTGGTCATGGTGCAAGCATTCCTTATGTGCAGCTTGTCCGCTTGAGATGCTGCCTGTTTAGAGATATTGGTGATTTTGTGTTGAGTGTAGTTACACCTCCAGCACATGTGACACTGTCAGCTCGGAGCTCTGTTCCGGATTGACTAATGTGAATTCTGTGTACAAAAAAAGTCTGTCGGCACACACTGCATTCCAGGGAGGGACGTAATGAGCTTCGTCACTTACAGGCAGTGCTGTGAGGAGTAGGACTGTGTGCGCACGGTTCATGCGCATCCAATCCAACTAAATGGAAGTTTGTGCTCCCCCCCTTGTCCACAACCCAGAGTTCTTCTCTCCTGGGCTCAGATGGAGTACAATGTACACATATACAATGAACCTTTAACCTGTGAGATCTGATAAGATCTCTCAATTTACACTATATGACCCCAGAGAAGACCCCCAGATGTCAAAGTGCTGAAGTAGAGCAGAAGAGGAGGCCACTTGAAGAGGAATCGCCTCATCACTTTTGTAAGTATAATCTATCTTTTACTGATTTTATTTACATTTTTCAACAATTGATTTTTATACATTTGTTTTGAGACATTTGCAAATTTTGGTTTTATCACTAAACAGTGATTTGTCTTGCAATTTATTTACCTTATTTTCTATATCATTTTTTGCAAATGTCAAGTAACTAGTGATCATAGCACTTTTTTATAATTATTTTTACATTATCACCATCAGAGTGACAATTCCACATAAATCACACCAGTGATTTTTTGCATGTAATGATTAGCACAGTATTAAAACATTAAAAATAAATTGTATGTCTTTTGCTGCACTTTACTTTCTGTGATGCCTCAGACATAGACTTTCCTGATGAACGCACTGCATTAATGTAATCCCAACATACATATGGCAATGCTGGTGTTGCCTTTATTACAGGTGTAGCCTGTTTTCAGCCTGTCATGTAAAATAAATGTGCGCTACAAGCACCTTACTGGGAAAGCTCTGAACACTCTAATCACTACTGCGTGCTATAGTGGTTATGGTGTCTGTCTTTTTCAGATTCCCCCCTATCTTAATACGTCACAAAGCTTTTAGAACCGTGACTTCTTACATGAGGTATGCTGGACACCACTCCCTGCATTCACTACTGCTCACTGAGATCCTGAATCTCTACTCTGGAGCGTTTATTACTCTCCTGAGCTAAACCTGCAGAGCGTGGCTCACGCATTGGCAATTAGTATCAGCTGATCTCCCTCAGCCATTGAACTAAGCCCAGCACCCCCCAGGAGCGTCACCTGTTGCCTTTACTCATGTGTTTTGTTTTTTTTAAATTGCTTATATTTGTATATTTTATCTGATAATGCTGATTGGTTAAAATAACTTGCATATTTTTCATTTTTTTTAGGCTTTTGGTGCCGAACAGAAAAACCGCAAACCCGCTGTAATCGGTAGGTTGCCTTTTTTAAATACTCATGTATGGTCATGTTAATCTTTTCTGATTCTCTCCGATCATTGAAATACTTACTGTTTAATCTTTTTTTCATGTATGTGTATGCTTGCACGCATAAGTAATATTTTTTTTTCTAATATGTATATATCCATGTTTGTTTTTTAAATAAATATTGATTGTAAACATTTTTTTTAAAAAAATATTATTGTAGCTGCTGCCCGTTCTTGAAAATCCAGAGAGTAGAGAGAATCAGAATTCCTCAAATAACCTGTATTAAGTCCACACATTTTCCAAAACTGAAATCTAAGCATCATGACCACTTCTGTTTTCACGAGTGGTCATGATGCAGGAAGTGTTTATGTCCAGTGTTTTGTCCTGCTCATAAAGATAGCAGTGGAGCTCTGTGATGCTGTAATGCATAGTATCAGAATGTGCATTTCGATTTCGTGGCTGAGGAGCTCTGTGATTCAATCACACATTGGGTATTACTGATCGGAGAAGAGGTGTGCTTCTACTGCACAGACAGAGGGAATGCAAAGGGACCCAAGGCAGACCTGCATCCCCTTTAGGGGGTAGCAGGCACCATGATTTTACTTTTTTGATGGGCAGCAGCTGACAGGAATTTGAGGATTATTTATTTATTTGACAATCTTTATTTTTATTTTATCATTTTGTCACAGAATAGTGTGAATGTGATAATACATCAATTGTAACTTCGTATTTCTGAAAATCTTAACAATATGCGTAACCTTTTTACAAACATTCTCCAGTCAGGCTTCTCCAACAGTAGTTCAATAGTTTCCATAATATTCATTAGATTGTGTAACATATGATCAGGTTTCATGGTTCATGACTCCTCTTGCCTACATTGCGCACTTTGCAGCACTTATGGCGTGCGTTCTATGATTAGGGTGTGATCTGGTGTCTGGTCTAGTAGCTCTAGGGGATATTGACCCTGTTTCAGTGGGTTGCTGTGATTATAGCTCCTCTAGTGGTCATCTCCCCATTAGCGTCTGGGTTCCTGGACTTAAAGTTAAAAGTTGTTGCGTTCGGGTTGTTGTTTCAGTTGTCCCCGGCCTACCCCTCACCTCCGGTGCATCCCGTCTAAGTCATTGGTCAGCTGGGGAGCAGCAAGACCCATTGTGCCTCCTGTTTCCCTATCTGTTCTCAGGGTGTGTGCCGTCGTTGGTGCTCTCGTGTGCCGGGTCATCTTCCCTTAGCTAGCTCAGTGCCCGACTCTGGCCTATCCTTGTTCCCAGTGTCAGTGCGTCCGCGCAGGTGCAGCTGCCAGGAAAAAAGATCTGTTTTCTGTGGAGAGAGGCTACAGGCATGGGGGATGGTGTACTGGTTGTGTACCAGTGATAGGGCAGGTGGAGGGGGTGGCCAGGCAGGTAGGGGTTGAGTATGGGGGGGAGGATGTGTCCCCCCTCCTCCCCCACAGGTACTCCCCTGGGCGGAGGAGCGTGCCTTCTCACACCCTTTGCGGCTGAATGCGTCTTTCCTCCACAATCGCCCATGCCTCCCCCCCTCGGGGCCAAGGCAAATGTCACCTGGCGTGCGTACCTCCTACTTTGCTAGAGGAATATAAGCACATATTGACTAATGCACATGCAACGAAGTTTGGTTCCCAAATTGCACCAATGACGAAGTAGGGGAGTTTGGACTGGCCATAGTAGTGGTGACAGCATTCCTGCAGAGGCAAGTATTTAATTAACATCTCCTCGAGAAAATGTATCACTCTGACAAATTGTATATTACAAAATTAAAAGAAATAGTCTGAGTTATATACCTTTTACTTCTCCAAGAAGGTCCAATATTAAAGGAACACTATAGAGTCAGGAAAACAAACATGTATTCCTGACCCTATAGTGCAAACCCCCCCCTTAAACGTTTATAAAACAAACGTTGTTTTGTCCAATCAGCACCTCCTCATAGAGATGCATTGAATTAATGCATCTCTACGAGAAAAATTCGGTGTCCCCATGAAGAGTGTGGGGATGCTGAACAGCAGAGCTGCCTACTGTGCAGCACTGAGCCAGGAAGCACCTCCAGTGGCCATTTGGCACTGTCCCTAGGGGCAATGTAAAGACAGCATTTTCTCTGAAAAGGCAGTGTTTGCATGAAAATGCCTGCATATAATGATTATACTCACCAGAACTACATTAAGCCGTAGTTGTTCTGGTGACTATATTGTCCCTTTAAATGTGATACATTTATTACAGATGATACTGTTGGTGAAACAATAATTGTTGTTTGAAAGATTTTTTTTTTTTTTGTTTAACCATCATTTAGAATGGTGGTCAGCTGTGCTGGAATAGTTTTCTGAGCGAGTAGGACATGGCTAGATACTACCTTTATCATATATGCACATAATGAGTTCAGGAAACGAAGTAATTGAATGGAGGATCCATCATCACCTTGACAAACAGATGATGTAAAGAATGTTGATGAACTCTGTCCCAGAAGAAAGCTCAAAATAAACATAAAAAGATGTAAAAAAACTAAACAAAAAAAACCACAGAACAGCAGTAAGTGTAAGAGTATGATAATGGTAAGTCTAATATATGTTTAAAAAATCGAATTTTATTTTAAATACATGCTATGATTATTAGTATTAATGTAGTACCAATATATTCTGCAGTGCATTACAGCAATATAACTGCAACAGCACAATGTTGACTTAAATGGGTGCAAAGGGCTCTGCTCAAACAGGCTTATAAGCTACAATGAGATTGTAGAATGCAGCACCCATTAAAGAGAACGGCTCTCTTGAAATTGATGACTATGCACACTTTTAAAGAAATGTTTTCTGTAATTGACAGGAATAATTTGAATTCATGTGTGCATAATGTTGAGTTAATAACAAAAATTGAAATGCTCTCTGATGGAGGATGGTGAGGCCACTTTTGACAGGAGTGGCAAAATAGCCAAAGTAAGCACCATACCCACTGCAGCTCATTGTACATTCATGGTGCTATGTGCTTAGGTGCACCGTTTTTGAGTATGTCAGCCTATCATTGGGACTGTTCTCTTTTAATTCAGGGTCCCTGCCAGTGAACTGTTGAGACAGAATTGCACTGTCCATCACACCACAACCACTCTCCTGAGATAGTGACAGCTGCTAGCAGTAATCTTAGACAGGTTAAAACACGTGTGATTTAGCATTGCACTATAATAAAGGGCCCACATAATGCGTAGTGTCCGTCACACTGTGCATTATGGTTTTTAATGCACTCTGTGAGATGGTCAACTGTGCAGTACACCATTTAAAAACCATTAAAATCTGTATATTGTGTATATCTATACTTATCTTTATTTTTAGTTGTTTTTAGATCGTTGGTGGGGTACAGAATATAAAAAGGGGGGGGGGGGTGTTATAGCTAATGCAATATCAATAGTACATAGTAGAACTCCAAGTATATTTCTTTACTCAATAACAATTGTTCGTATTTGCAATAACTAAGCTCGCTGTGGGCTGTATTTTATTTAGGGTGTGTTTATTAGGGTGTGTTGCTATACTTATCTTTTTAACGTGATTATGTCTCTCCTCTTGGAACAGTCACATTCTCAGAAAAGGTCAAAGAAGCATTTTTTTTATTTATATATATATATTTTTTTTTTACCTATGTGTACTGGTGAACCGTTTATTTTTATTTTTTGTTTTGAAGACGTGATTTTTAAAAAACCACAGTTGAAAAGCGCAAGTCCCCACCGAAAGTGGAAGGCTACTGGGAAACTACTTCAACAGCCATGCCACGGTCTGTGGAAAGAGCAGTGGAAGAATGGACAAGTGGTTTTATTTTATTTAATCTATTTTTGTGTGTATGTAAACCTGAAAAGTATTAAATAAATTATTACTGAAGCAGTTTCCTTGTCCAAGTCCTTCCAATAACATTTTACTTCTAGTGATCTACTGTAAATAAAATTGAAATTGCCAGTAAAAACACCTTTAAAACTAAAGAAGTCCATGATTTTAAAATACTGCATGTAAAGTCACTCCAAATCTAAATTGCATTAGCTACACCTTCCTGGCTGTTACCTGCTCACTCACTTTGAACAAGTGTTTAAATAGTAGCACTGGATTCAGCGCTTCCTTATGAGAATTGTTCTGCAGTTGGAGTAAATCAACTGATGCGCCATAGGTCCCTATTGCTTCTCAGAGATGCATTGGATTGGTCCAGAGATCATTCATATTGATGGTCTTGTGGGAACGGACTTTTTTTAACTGGATTGGAGGTATATAGATTATTTTTTTTAAAGTGCAAAATGAGATCCCTAAACCTAAAATGAAAAATATAAAACCCACCAATAAATAAGCTGAAGTATTTCTTTCTCTGACAGGAGTTACGCTTCATTTGTTATGGTGCCTAGAGTGTTCATTTAAACAAAATACAGTTTCCTGTTATGCTTGTGATTAATTGGCGTGAATGAAAATAATTAAATAAACACTTGTTTTACCAGTAAACGCATAACTATAGTTAAATTTAGAGCTGACAATCATAAAAAATGTCATTGGAAACATCTAAGGTGCCATAGATCTCACTGGTCTAAACAGATTACCTATTGCGATTAAAATTTACTACATGTTGCACCATTCCCATTTTTTTGTAGATGATTAAACTGTAGATAAGATGTTTTAAAGTTAATTTGTAAAGAAAAAAAAAAATATATAGATTATAAAAACGCCAATTAAGTTAAAAGATAGTGATTCGTCACACATCAGAAGTCTTTGTATGGAAAGTAATTTGGTGTCAAGACAGCTGGTGGGTCCGAGGTTGATTTGCATGTACAGAATTAAACTTGAAGCATTGCTCTTTGACACAGAGTTGGCTGCACTGTAGCACTCAAAGCTGTTTAGCTAGGACTGCCATAATGCTTTGCTAGTCTGCTCCAATTCCTGCTCTGCATTCAGCAACTCGTAAAGGTAAAAAAAATCTGGATTTACTTTTAATGCAGCTCTCATACATAATGCAAATGTATTGATAGGGCATTCAGAACAAGACAATTTACTGCACAAAGTGATTCCAAGTAGGGACAATCCCTGTTTAGGGGACTGTAACAAAATAGAACTGAAGGATGTCTGCTACGGAAGTGTAACACCCACAGACTAAATTAAATGCTGGACGGGAGGCAAGTAATATCATGACCGCTCCTAAAGCAAATATCCATTGTCTTTATGATAAATTTTATATTCACTGGTTTAGGAGTGGTTATACATTACAGCAGTGTTTCCCAAACCAGGCATGAAGACCCACCAACAGTCTTGGGTTTTGCCCGTATCCCCATTGGAATAAAAGAGGGGAGGACATACATCCTGGATTGTTGGTGGGCCCCGTGGTTTGGGAACCACTGCTTTATATGGTTTCTCCAACCACCAAGACTATTTATGACCCTAACCAGGGACTGGATTTCAGGTATGTTTTTCATTTTATATCGCTTTGTAAAGTAATCAAGTGAGGAGGAGATGGGAAAAGGTTTAGAGGAACTCTCTGAGATGGTATGGCACATTTTAGATTCTTACAGGAATTCGAACTTTAAGTCCCGCTTCTCTGGTAGTCCAACGTGAAACAATGTTTCATTATAAAAGGATTTTCTTAACTTTTCTTTTGAAAAATGTATGTCAACATAAATTTAATTGGAAAGAGTTACAAAAAAATGTTCTGAAGTTTTGAAGGGGGGTCAAAAATGATTTAATAAAGGGTTTTAAAAGCCATTAACTGTCACCTCTTATGTATTAGAAAGTAAATATAAAAAAAAAAAATCTTAACTGCCACAGTTCTATCCAACTAAGAATGTGAACTCTCTGCATATTCTGCTCACTTTCTAGGCAAAGATAAGAGAACATTGTAAAACTATACTTTTCTGATGAAAATTACACATTTTAAATGTAATGTATCTCACACACAAAAAATAAATAAAAAATTATGGAAAAACCACAAATGCAATAGTGGCAAAGACTTGAAATGGATGATTCTCTCCAGGGGGAAAAATATCACAGAAAAGGTGCAGGTTATACATCAACACTCATATTGATGGATATATCCCTATTGTGCTACATTACAATATTTTTGTTTTTCAATGTCTAGGTATTTGCATTCGTGAAATAATAAAGGCATGGGTTTTTTCAAATGGCGAAAATGGAGGCCAGTGGATCAGATGATGTTGAAAAACTGAAATCCAAATTCTTATCAGCTTGGAATAATATGAAATACAGTAAGTGGATCAACATTTTTAAACCATTCTTAAAACAAATGGTCTCTTCATATCTAGAAGGCAATAAAAAATATTTGAAATGGTCACTTTAAGGAACATCACTGCCATTAAAATATTATTGGTAAGCTGATGGTGCTTTGACCAATAAAATTCACTGCAGCTCTAAGACGGCCCCTCAGAGCTGTCAATCATGCATCCAGAATTCCCAGCTACAGCTCCTATATCACTTTTTTTTTTTTTTTTTAATGGTGTTGATATATACAATAGCTATCCTACCATCCACTAATACTTTATAGACGTCTGATAATGTAAAAGGCCTATAAGCCGGTATTAAATTCTAAAACATTTCAAAGCAGTTTTATTTTCAAAATATATTGATCACTCCAGAAAGTAAATAATTTCCTTTATTAAAATAGTCACCATATGTATGCTTATGCTGTCTTGAATTAAGGCACTTCATCAGTAAACTGCTTGATTGATACTTAAAACTGATTATCTGTTGTGTTAGTATATTCAATGTAATTGTTTAATCATTGATTTAAATGAAAATAAAATGCTGCATGTTTTTCACATTGCGGTTTTTTTTGTGTTGCATTGCTGACATCTCATTTCTATTCATTCCTTTTGACCACAAGTAATGAAGGGGACAACTACACAGTGTGTTGTGCGTTTGTTTTTTGTTTTTCTTTTGTGTGTGTTTTAAACTTTATTTCATTGTTTATGTGAAGTTCTTGTCTACTAAAATCTTGCATGTGCAGTGAGTGCGTAATCAGTCAAGTGTGGTCGCTATTCTGAGATGGACATGTTTCCAGTGTAGTTGGTATTCTGAGATGGACATGTTTCCAGTGTAGTTGGTATTCTGAGATGGACGTGTTTCCAGTGTAGTTGGTATTCTGAGATGGACGTGTTTCCAGTGTAGTTGGTATTCTGAGATAGACGTGTTTCCAGTGTAGTTGGTATTCTGAGATGGACATGTTTCCAGTGTAGTTGGTATTCTGAGATGGACGTGTTTCCAGTGTAGTTGGTATTCTGAGATGGACGTGTTTCCAGTGTAGTTGGTATTCTGAGATGGACGTGTTTCCGGTGGAGTCTGTATTCTGAGATGGACGGTTTCCGGTGGAGTCTGTATTCCGGTGGAGTCTGTATTCTGAGATGGACGTGTTTCCGGTGGAGTCTGTATTCGGAGATGGACGGGTTTCCGGTGGAGTCTGTATTCGGAGATGGACGGGTTTCCGGTGGAGTCTGTATTCGGAGATGGACGGGTTTCCGGTGGAGTCTGTAGCTTTATCTAGGAAGGCTATGTGAGCAACAAAGACTCTGTATACTGGAAAACACCAACAGATAAGAGGATGGAAGTTTACACGCTTCGATTGTTTGGTTATAGGGTTATATAACAACAACAAAAACTGTATTTTCATAAACTGTTTTTGGTTAGAGTAACACTTTAATTATAGATCTCTTTTAGGAACAGAAACTTGCTGAAGTGCTCTGTGGAAGTGTTTTATTTATTTATTTTTATACTAAAAGTGGACGCTTTCCTTCCTTCTAGTTCAGCTCCATAGAGCTATACTCTGGCACGCGCCCAGGGCACTGTCTATTAAAGACCTTTCCATTAAGTGTAGTGCAGCTCATTGAGAAGTTTGTGATTGGACAGCATTTCATGGAGTGTAATATGCGCTTCTGGTTGGTACGTATCCTCAATGAAAAGCATTTGATTGGCATTCCATGGCACAGACATGAAAGTCTTCCTGGAAATGAAGGGGAGGGCTGTAAACTAGATCTGAATCTATTGCAAGTTATTTCCTATACCCGTAAAAAACATGCAAACATAATTACCTGTTTGTTTCTTTTGGGGTGTATCTACAGACTATATATTTTTGCAATCTGTTTATACACAGCCCAATTCAGTTTTGTAATTTGGGCTGTTTGCAGTGATCAGCCTCTGCTGTACTTTCTGTCTGCCTGGTTGACGGGGCTGTTATATAGTGTCAGTATTTTTAATAATCCCTGCCTTAATAAGACATTCTCATTTGAGAATTGTTGCTGGCTACTACATTAGTTTTGCAAAAGTGTACCAAAAAAATGTACAAAACATTCTTTTGTTAATTATGGAAAAGTGATTTTTGACAGATGGGGGATTCACCATCACTTAGTTCTACACAACAGCGCTTAGTGCAGAGGAGCTATACAAAGTGATTTGGCAGTTAGTGCAGAGGAGCTATACAAAGTGATTTAGCGGTTAGTGCAGAGGAGCTATACAAAGTGATTTAGCGGCTAGTGCAGAGGAGCTATACAAAGTGATTTAGCGGCTATTGCAGAGGAGCTATACAAAGTGATTTAGCGGCTATTGCAGAGGAGCTATACAAAGTGATTTGGCGGTTAGTGCAGAGGAGCTATACAAAGTGATTTGGCGCTTAGTGCAGAGGAGCTATACAAAGTGATTTGGCGGTTAGTGCAGAGGAGCTATACAAAGTGATTTAGTAGTTAGTGCAGAGGAGCTATACAAAGTGATTTGGCAGTTAGTGCAGAGGAGCTATACAAAGTGATTTAGCGGTTGGTGCAGAGGAGCTATACAAAGTGATTTAGCAGTTAGTGCAGAGGAGCTATACAAAGTGATTTAGCAGTTAGTGCAGAGGAGCTATACAAAGTGATTTAGCGCTTAGTGCAGAGGAGCTATACAAAGTGATTTTTATTTAATTACTTTCACTTTTGACGTCTGTAGGTTCTGCTTTACCCTACATTTTTCAGTTTTGCTCTATGGAAATCACAAGCAAACAAACATTTTGACATTCATTTAATGCAAATGTAGTCTATAGATTGCCTTGCAAATAAAATTCCCATAATCCTTAGCTGGTGCCTTACTTGTAGGTGATCCCCGTGTCTGTATTATGTTCTGATGTTACAAACAATGCCGGCCATTCAAAGTCTATATTTCAAAATCTTAAAGTGTTTTGTTTTTTCCATTTTGTTTCACTCAACTTATTGTCTTTTTTTTTTTTTTTAAAGGCTGGGTTCTTAAAACAAAAACCTATTTTAGACGGAATTCTCCTGTCTTTCTTCTCGGCAAATGCTACCACTTCAAGGGTGAAGGTAATGAATTGGCCTAGTGATTGTTTAATCCTGTCAGAGTAATATCTCGGTGTCACTTCTATATTTTTAAATTAAAAGTAGACGTTAAATAATAGTGTAATAGATAAAAAAAAATTTTTTTGGTATTTTTCTGATATCACCCGTCTCCCTTCTTTTCATTACAGAATCCAGCGAATCTTCACCTGAAGGCTCAGACTCTGGCTCCATAAACAGTGATGACAACTGGGGGAATGTAGAAGAGTTTAGGAAAGACTTTATTTCCAGGATATGGCTGACGTACCGCCAAGAATTCCCCCCATTAGAAGAATCCGTGTGGACGACTGACTGCGGTTGGGGTTGTACTTTGAGAACTGGTCAGATGTTGCTGGCACAAGGATTACTCCTTCATTTCCTAGGAAGAGGTTGGTTGACATTAGTAGGCTTTTTTTTTTTTATAGATTTTTAACTTGACACATTCCCACACATGCTCCATTCCATATAGAAGTCAGATAGTGTACCATCCACTGAATTCTCTGCACATCCCTGGGTTTAGTGAGAAACTACCACTATTACCAACCGCAAACATTATCCCAAACTGAGCTGGACAATTTGATAGAGAAATCTTGCAGTTTTTACATCGCAGCGACCAAACTGGATTATAAATAAAAAGAGCAGACCACCACCATGGTTACTGGTACTGCTTAGAGCAGTGATGGGTGACTTGCTTAGAACCATGGGATATGTAGTTTAATTTTTAAGGAAGAGGGTTGAGATGGGACACAAAGGTAAATATTGGATTGATTGAAATGGAAGGAATATCGAATGGTTTTGCATTTCACAAGAATTTGATGTAGACATCCCTGTTCAGACAGCTTGCACCCAAAGGTTTAAAGCAGGGGTCCTCAAACTGTGACCTTCTAGATGTTGCTGAACTACAACTCCCATGATTCTGTGAATTACATAGATAGCCAGATAATCATGGGAGTTGTAGTTCAGCAACATCTGGAGGGCCACAGTTTTTGGACCTCTGGTTTAAAGGAACACTCACATCCCTTTAACCACTTCTGCTCATTGAAGTTATAGGGGAAGCAGTGTCCAGGCTTTGCCTTGCCTTCAAGGGTTAAGCTGTTATGCAAGTCTGGGCACCTTATGGGAAAAAAGAGCCCAGGTTCTCCTGTCCCTATACAAAATCAATATGATACCGCACTTCACTTATATTTGCAAAAAATATTTTTATTGCCACAAAAGATCAGGTTAGAAGATATGAAAAACAAATTATAGAAAATATATAAGCACAAAATGCTGACCAGCAACTCCTGTCCCTGTCCCTATAATGTCTTTAATGAGCTAAATTTAAATTCTGAGATAATAGGTGTATGATTCTGGAAGGTGAAGCAGTCGTATATTTACATTCTGTAACCTATAATCTACTATTTTGAACTTTTTTGTCACACTGTTTTCTTGTATGCTATTTCAGACTGGATCTGGCCAAACTCCGTGGACTTTGTCAATGCTGACCCTTTCTCTTTGTTTTCAAATACGTCTCAGAGACTTGCTGCTCCTTTCGAAACCTCTTTGCCTGAAACTAGAGACACTATCTCATCTTGCAAGCCATTAACAAACAAGAATGTTAATGTAGATACTACTGAGTTCTATCACAGGAAAATAGTCTCATGGTTTGCCGACTGCCCAGCGGCGTATTTTGGTATCCATAAATTAGTTCAACTTGGTAAGAATTCCGGTAAAGTGGCTGGAGACTGGTATGGACCAGCGGTGGTCTCTCATCTCCTGAGGCAAGTGTTCTAACTATTAGGGCTATCTATACTTCACTTCGCATATGACAATTCATCTTTAAGTAGGTATGGAATCTGTATAGTATGCTAGTGAAATTACCAAGATTGTGAGAATGTATGATCTATTTAACTGAACATTGCATAGCCCATCAGCTCGAGGACAATGCACACCAGCAGAGTTTATTCACCTCAGTCAGAACTCAAGGTGAATTGAAAGTAAATTTCAAATTTAAGATCAAAATAGCCGAACTGGAAACATTCTCTAAGTTCTCTGCTTTCAGTTTGGCTACTCTAATGTTCTTTTTAAATTGGCAGCAGGTCATTCATGAAAGGTGACCTTTAATGGGTTCGCCATTGACATTTCTCATATTGCATTTTATAATTAATATAAATTTATATTAAAATGTTTCACCATTTCAAGTATTTATCAATTTCAACCGAACTGCCAAGGAGCTTAAATGCAAATGAATAAGCAGGTGCATGTTTAACCTATCACGCATGAATTCTCTTCTAAAACAAACTATACTTGGAGAACTTAAAACTGTGTCCTTGCTGGATACATTTAAAGGAATACCCCAACCACCATAACTACTACAGCTGGCTGTAGCGATGTGGTAATAGTGCCAGGAGTTTGCTGGCACCATCCAGAATAAGTAGTCAAATTGTGTTTAGTACAGTTTGTCCAGGTGATTAGAGACTCGTGATTAATGTGCTCTTTGTTTTGTTCCCTGTGTGGTCACGATTATAATATTCCGAGTTCTGTAAGTTCCTTGT